ATCTATGATCATTTAAACATGGATCTTGGTTGAAGACTGACAACTAATGCTATGTTCAGAGCACACAATAGCAGCCCAATTTTAGCCAACCTTGCTGTCACAGGATGTCAGCTCAAATAAGGGACTGACAGTGGGTGTTGGTTGTGTCAGTTGATCATTTCACCTGTGTAGTGTGTTATAGTAGACACCTGACAGTGTCCTGGCAGAAAGAATAGCATGAGCATGACTCAGAATTTGACCAACAGGATCTAAGGGCCCACTTCATTGACATCCTAGTACTGAATATCACTAACTCATCATCTTCTCCGGAGCCTCTGTGCTTCACTGTCTTGCAGGTTACTTCAATTCGCAGCTTCGCCTGGATCGTGAGTCGATGTCACGCTGCTGTTGGGGTCCTGCCTGATGCCGACTACTACTGCTGTTATTATTGTCATACTTCTACTATTACTATACACATGTGATTATTATCGTCATACATGTACTGTCATATATTAATATATACTTATATATGCTATTAAAATACTATTATTATTATAATATCATTACTACTATTGTCATTACTGTCTGCCCTGCATCTCTCTATCTCTGTCCTGTAAAAGGGTTTTTTGGGGGAAGTTTTTCCTTATCTGATGTGAGGGTCAAAGGATGCAGGAATGTCGTATGCTATAAAGCCCTCTGAGGGAAATTGCGATTTGTGATTTTGGGCTTGGGAATCAGCCGGCATCATACACACCGCCATTGTTTGTTAACATTCTCGTTCCTGGAGGTCAGTTCCTAGCACCTCCTTCCTGATGACATCAAGCATGTTGTAAAAGACTACAAGCTTTGACTGGGCATGTGGTCCGTCACGTCTCTCAGCAAAGTCATGGCAAGATTTTATGAATCTATATCCACTTAAACTAACATAGTGACCATCGCAATGGACAAAAACATGTGTAGTCTTCCCCCCCCATCTTCCGATTGGTGGAGGACCTGCTCTATCTCCGAGCCACTTACATAACAAGAACTATGAGCACCAGTGCCACCTTGTCGCTGAATTCCCCCGAGTTAAGAGGTATTTAGGGGCTGGATCCGATGGGACAAAGGCTTGTTTAAACTTCCAGAAAATTGGCTCCTCTGTTTGTTAAGAAGCTTTGCTACACTGATCTGGAGGCGGGGACTGCATCAAAACAAATGGCTGAACATTGTGTAAGCCTAGACACTGTGTTGGTATTTTAGCAATGTTATGATTCAGGTTTACAAATTGTGTCCAAAGCAGTGCTCCACAACACCACTCAAGACCGAAAGCTATTACCTATAAACTATTACCTCTGCCTGTTTCACTTCCCCACTATGGAGGACTGATTGGAGTCTGTGAGTCCCTGTGCTGTGCCTGCAGGATGGATCCATACACTCGGATCGATAATGGTAGGTCTAACTGATGCTCAAGAGCTGAATCGCAGGTGGGGCTTGATAAAGAAAGGAATGCAAACACATACACAAATACAAAGCAATAAATCATAACACTGAAACTAAACAAGTGCAGCAATTTCAGATGATATAACAGCTGTGTTTATCCAAGTGTGATAAATGCATCAGGAGGAATCAGGACGCAAATTCAAGCTGGCTGCAACACTGGATGAGGGTTTGATGTTTTGCTCAAGAACACACATGTGCTGTTGGTGTCTAACCTGTAAAGTCATTACATAATGGGTTTCCAAACCATACATGCAGCCTCACAGGTACTTCCCAGATGTAGTGCTGTAACAGTCTGCTTTACGTCTTACATTCACCTGAACTGCTGCTCACCTTCTTTAACCTTTTAAAAATAATTTACATCAGTGTCTAACACTGTGTGTTTCCAGGAATCGTCATCTCAGTAAAAACCACAGATGTCAAAATGTCATATTTAATATCATTATTCCGCTGAAAAGGGAAGACATTATAAAAACAGACTGCAGGTTCCATAGCTACAGGGCAACAGCTGCTGCCGTTCCACTTGTGTCTTGCTTTGGTGAAGTTAAGAGATTGGTTTGGGAAAAGCAATTTCACCAAATGTCAAAATTCAACTGAGCCAGATGTTTGCATATGACAGATAGGAATGGAGAATGCTCCTATCTAAATATAGAGCTGCGTGCTGTTGGTACGTTTTTCACCTTAACCCCACAATATAGTCCCTAACTAGATGCTTCCTTTCGGCTGCCTTTCATTTTCTTTGGCTCTCCAATTTTTCATTTTCCCACCGTGTTCACCCGTTCCTTTGTTCTCCGGCCCGCTTCCCTTTATCTCATTCTCCTTCATTTTATTTCCTGTACAATGCGATAGATAAGAAAAAAATCCTTGTGTGACTGTATGTGTGTGATATCTCAGATTACCTTGCTGCCTTGTCAGCAGACTGAGTTTCTGCACTATCTGAGAATCTAATTCTCAAGCCAGCTCACTGAAAACAGGCTTTAATTAGACAGGACATAACAAGGGTTCACTAAATCTCTCTCACTCCATTTCCTTCTCTGCCACTCTGTTTCTTTGTTTTCTTTTCTCTGGGTCTAATTTGGATAATCTCTCTCTTTCTCTCTTGCGCGCTCACAAGTTCTTAAAAACAATAATGAGTCACCAAAACGTTTTTCCATCAATGTTTGCATTAATTATCACCATATGGGGGACACGAACCTGAAAATTGAAAGCTAATCAAGTCGAGGCGTGAACAGTTCATTCGAGATAACAGCAATGTTAAAGATATTGTTTATCAGCTAACTGACGCTCATTTCTATAGGCCTCTTATGATGCTTCGACACACTCCATCTGACTCATTTCACACTCCAAATCTCATCTTGTGGATCGCTTAAATGGTACTACTGAGAGCATAAAATAATCAAGAAAGCATCATATTTTTCTGGTAGTCATATCTGACACAGATATGATGAAACTACTTGCATCATAAAGACAAAATCAGCACTCACCCTTTTAATATTTCAGTCGATGTCTGCTTTCCAGGCAAGAGACTGAGGTATCTTGGCATTGTCAATGAGTCAAATGTAAATCCCTCCTTCCTTTACCCCTACCCATCACATTAACCCCTGGGCTCTCACTGCAACAAGTGTGTTTACACAATCCCTCCTCTCATAAAATACTTCAGTAGTAAGGGGGGAAGATTCAGAAATGTTCTCACATTACTCTGGGGAAAGACCAAGCCTGAGGCAAATCCTATCACTCTGTACAAAAAGAGGAAGAGCGTTAACTTAAGCAGCAACAGTGAGGAAATACTGTTATTACTCAGCTCACCAGCACTAGCGGGGAATGCTCAATGACTATTGTCAAGATGCAGCAAGTGCTGATCAAGTGTTACAAAGTGTTACCTCAAAGCGTTTAGGACAGATCCACAAGGTCTCATGCAGGGAAAGACACTGTAATACAGACAGAGGAACCACACAGGCCAAGCAGTCACATGACTCGAGGAGTCTGACAGAAGTGAATCTGTCACCCATGCAGGGACTGCTGTCAGGGGGCCTTTCCATAGCAATGCAAGCATAAGCCTGGTACCAGTTCAGTGCCATGGCGGCGCCTGGTCGCTAGGTAGGCATTAGACGGAAGGGTAGCAGATCTGATTCATTCCAGGCCAAGAAACCCTGGTTTCTGTCTGGCTGTTGCAATGCCACACCAGCTGCTCCCACAGACCCCAGCTGAACGTCATTGGCAGCCAGAGAGCAGAGATTAACACAGTGACCTGCAAAGACTGCTGGTAGGACTGACACAGATACGCCCGGACAGCTGGGTAAATGACTGGCAAATGACTGGCACGGCCAAAAAGAAAGGTTGGACATGAAAAATCAATGCCCTTTAGAGCAAAGTGTGAGGACTGAGTTCATCAACTATCTGATCTCACAAACACAGCCTGAGTACTTGTGTGTCCAGAGTCATAGCAAAGGATCAGCAAATCACAGTTTCCATTTTGTTTTCAATGCTCCAATGCATCCATGTTGATTATTATTTTCAATGTCATCTGCGTTTATAGAAAACAAAACTATTCGAGCGTACTCAGTATTAGCAAGCTCGCATTTGTTTGAGATAAACGACTGAATGGTTGAAACAATGCCCAGTATGTATTGTCCCTGGGCTAATATTTTAACATGATTATGTTTGTTTTGATGCATTCCTGTGTGTTTGTGTTACAAATGTGAAAGCACACATGAAACCGCGGACCGACCAAAAAGCTGTGTCATATGCTCTCTTGTTTGTTTAGGCATTTGTTTATCTTTGAAGAGCATTTCAAATCCCCTTGTCACAGACACAGAACAGTGCAGACTCTGTTATCTAAGGTCCAACAAAAAGTGACTGCCTCTGCTACAGCATTTTGTCCTTGAGAGCAGTTTGTATCAGGATAAAAGCTTTGCTCCGTTCTCCTCAGTCAAGTGGACAGCTTCCAGCAGAACAAATTATGTGACCTGCAGTCAGAAGCACTGTTTTGGCCCATTTGTGTGTGTGTGTGTGTGTGTGTGTGTGTGTGTGTGTGTGTGTGTGTGTCAGGCTACACCAACACATTCTGGTTTTAAAACATAAAACTACTACTCCGGCATTCTGGGACCTCAAAAACAGACCTCTGAAAACGCTGCTGACCCCATTTTTGATTGAAAACTCTGGAGTTGCGTTTTAGTGTGGCTGGCTGGAAAGAAAGATTTTTGTAAACACTAACGCACACACCCAGATTCACTTCCTGATTTGGTCTTACCAGTCACCAAGTGTCAAGCCAAAACATTATAGCTAAGCTTACAAATCTTTTCTGATTTCAGACATTTTCAGATATGTAAGTGCAGACGGAGATTGTTCCTGAAACGGCGCTAAAAACTTGTGTGTATGGAGATCGTTTTCATCTAAAACAAAAATGTAGACAATGCGTGAGATAAGTGAGCTAGCACTGCAAATCTAGTAGCCAGATCACACCCTAAAAACTGTGTACACATCCACACACTACTACCTTTTTCACTAAACCATAAACAGACACACATCCTCATACGTGCACCAACCTTCTTTGTCGTCATGGCGAATGATAGCATCCTGTATGACATCAGCCAGGCCGAAGCGGACGCGATGCTTCTTGCGGTGTGCGGGCGGGGCTCGAACCTTGACTCCACCTTGCTGGCGCTGAAGGCTCTTTTCCCTCTCATAGTACGCCCTTATTTGGTCACAGCGCATCCTCCTGACCAGCCGCTGGCGCTGGCCAATGGGGAGAGACTCCAGCAGACACTGGTCTATCTCCATGTTCTGACGAAAGACATTACATAGCTGGAAACAACCTGGTGAGGAAAAGAGGCAGAGCAAGATGGTGATAATGATGTTTAGTGTCAGGAAATTTATGCAGTTTACTTTAATACTGAGTTAATGCGACAGTATCAAACTGAGGAGGAAGGCTAGGCTTTCAGCTTCATCTCCACCATCTCCAAACGTGTTATTGTTTTTGTGTTCATGCATGTATGCTTTGCATGTCTCTGTGTGGACACTCATTTAGCATATTTGTTGTAAAGGATATTTGCTGTGTGTGTTGAGCCGTGGGGTTGGGTTGAAACATCGCAGCATTTCGTGTCCCATCTCTCCTGTCCCAGTGATTCTCCTGACTCCGTATAATCTCTCTGCCTCTCAGTGGAACTTAGCAAAACAGATCTCATCCCAGGCAGCTGCTAAACCTATTATGGTTTGCTTGGATGATTAGGATGTATAGTGCTTGTGCAGTAGGTGGGCTCAGAGTGAGATCCACTAAGTGCGCTCAGGTAAAAATCAAGAGACACGCATACAAAAAAACCCCACATTACATAAGGTAGGTTTTGAGGAAACGTATGTGCGTCAATCTGGCATTGGTAGCATTGATAATCTGACAAATACAGGTCACAGCCACCACCAGAGGACAAGTAAAATATGAGAGGGAGGATGTCTTCGCAGAAATAGGGGCAGTTTTTCTTTCTGACTCACCAGCTTATCCCTCTTCGGCCCCAGATGTCTCTATATCTCATTCCTCCTTTTATCAAACTTTGTTGCTCTCTTCTCTTTTGGGCCCATTTTGTTTAAAGTATCCCCCCTCTGGAGCATATTTGTCTTTCCACTGATCTCCAGTGCCTATGTCTCTACTCCACATCTCTCTTTCTATTAGAGTGACGGAGCGCACATCTGCCTACTAAAATATTTGGCTTCGCAAGGGCACAGAGGGTTGCTAGAAAAACTCCAGCTGCTGAAATAAGTGCACTACCTAGGATATGAGATCTCACAAATGGACAACTGGCAAAGATAGATTTCAAGCAGTGTTGTTAAGCCTTAAACAAGTGATAAAAAAAGAGTTGTTCTTTTTTGGGTGCACAGACTACTGCAGGCAGTGGGCCTGCGAATATGCTGAAGTGGCACATGCGACAATACTGACTGTACATGACTCAGTGACTTGGACTCTTGATGCTACGGACTCTTTTGTGAAGCTGAAGGACACTTACAGTAAGCTTCTGCCCTTATATGTCTGTCTGAGACATGAAGTGCTTGTCAGCTGAGCAGCATTTGACTTTTCAGCATAAAATGAAACCCTAAACATGTTTCCTCAGCAGAGCATGTGATTCTCATCTGACTTGTTTTCCAGTCATTGACAAACATCATGTAAGTTAAATATGACCTGTTTTCAGTCTCCAGTTTCCAGATGAACAGTGAGCATAGAGTACAGTACTCAATACTAAAAACGATAAACTAATGTTTTATATAAGTTTAATTTCACATGAAAATGACAATCTCAATGCTTAAAGCTGTAATTGGTAACTTTTATATAAACAACTTTCTGTCACATTTGCTGAAAATGTCAATCATCAAGGCAGTACATGAGATAGATAATCTGTGGAAAAAATCGTGTTCTTCCTTTTCCTAGTGCTTCTAATGCCATTTGTAATAATCCAGCACATGAGCACAAATGCCCCTTTTCGACAGTCATGGGCTGGCTTTGCTTGGTTTGGTTTGGTTTGGTTTGGTTTGGTTTGGTTTGGGCCGTCAGCACAACAGGGATTTGCATCTCCATTACAATAGGGCTACCTACTTGAAGGTGTGTCTTTAACTGATGATGGCTTGTCTTGAGTGATGATGTTTAAAAACAGAGTGCTGATCCACGGCTAAAGTCCCCTGTAATTATTGCTGCATGTGTTTTTACACAGCAGGGCAGGTAAAAGAAGTTCACCTGTTGGAGGTGAACTGTTTGCAGAGGTGCAGTAAGAGCCTGTTGTCTGCAGCTCTTCATCAACATCTCACTTTCCTCCCTGCCGTATAATCAGACTAGTCTTAACTGAAGAAAAGCTGCTTACAAAACTCCGCTATTTCAGTAATAACACATTTCATTTCCATTTCCATTTCCAGCAGCAACTTCACACAACTTCTTATATGGCTGATAGCAAACATGAAACAGTAAAATAAAGCAGATATCCAAAGTACAAACAGGTCGCAGGAGAGAAACTAAACTCCAAACCACAGAGATTCAGTTAGAAGCTATAAAAGTACTGAGAGACTTTTAAAAACGGCTGTCTCTCTGGTCTCCTGCAGACAGAGGTGAGTCAAGTCTTGCAACACAGATGCTTGTTTAGAGGGGAGAAGCGGTGTCGTTGGGGGTTGGCTGCGGTTGGTGAGACATCATCGCTAACTGTTTGAGGGCAGGTGGCCCTGCTTTTGGACCTACTACAGAGAAGGTCCATCTCCGGCGCGGCTTGGGATGGCATGGCCATGGCCTATTTCTTGCCTCAGATGTTGTCAGAAACAATAGTGTATGGTTTAGCGGTAAAATAAGAAAGTCTGTGACCTGACTGCATAGTTAAAAAGGGTCTAGCGAAAACCAAGCACTGCCAACTGGATCGGTCACAAACTTTCTCATTTTAAACAGTAAAGCTAACAACAGCTAAACAGTACACTAAAACTTGTTTGTGAAAACATCTGAGGGGAGAAAAAGGCAATGTAGTAACAGAATCTTGATTCATATTTGAATGGCGCTTCTGAGATTGACAGTGTGACCTCAGTTCACGAGAAGTGATTGACATGATTGACAACTGCGTTAGAGACTCCTCTGCTCTGATCAGTTGTATTTTGTAACAGCCATGGTTCATTCTAGCAAATCCCATTAGAAACACAAGAAGTGAAAGGAGGAACCTGATTTTTTCACAGACTATCTGTCTCATGTAAAACTGTGTGGATGTAGTGACAGCTTCAGCAAATATAACAAAAGGGTATTTTTCATAAAAGTTACCAACTGTAGCTTTAATCTTTCGTTCCTTTCACATGAATGGGACACCTTTGAAGTACCACATTGCCCCCATATTTCCCACAGGCCTGTCTGTCTTTCCCTCTCACTGTTTTACCGTCTCTCTTCATCTTTTTGTATAAACACAGAGTGATGCGTCTTTGAACAGTACCAACATCCAAGAGTGAAAAGCAACACAAAAATAAAAGGTGGCCTTAACAGTCCACCAACGGCCATGACTGGACTGTTTCTACTTTGTGTCTAATTTATACAGTAAACTGCCGTTTCTCAACTGTAGAGGCCGAGGTGTGTTTGGGCTAGATCTGTATCGGGTAGAGACAAAGCCGTCCAGGCAGACAAATGGAGCTACTGCCTCTCTCACATCTACACATTATTTCAAACACCTGCCCCCTCCACCCAGGGTTGGCCACACATACACAAACACACACACACCTCCTGCACAATACACCAGTGCCATCTGGTCTGGTTAGACATGTAAAAAAGGTTCTTTTGTGTTCAAGTTCCAGACAAGGGGGGGTCATTATTGTACTGTTCATGCCAGGTGTCTGCTTCGACTGTATTTTATTTTCGGAACTTGGCTACACATTGAGTGGACACACACATATAAACACAAAAACGCACTCAACCTACTGCCTTTTCAAATATCATGTCACTCCATCTCTCCACAGTCCAGCTCCCTCCGTCCCCGGATATTGCCTCCTTATTCCTCTACTCTCACATATTTCTCCCCCTCAGTCACCCCACTTTGATATGTGACTTGGTGGCTGTGGTGTGTGTTCAGTGTGTGTCCACTGTAGACACCTATAAGAGTGGGTGCACTGATATATGTTGCTCTGATCTATCATATGCTGACACATAACTCACTGCAGGCTACAGCACAGAACATCAAGAGCAAAACTCTTCAGCACTGCTGGAACATACTTTATGTACATTACCTTCACACACACACACACACACACACACACACACACACACACAGATACACACTCTAGATGACTAGTCTTGGCCAGTGTGTCAGTGTAACAGCCAGAGGTGAATATATTGTGAGTGTAAGCCTCAGGTGAGTGGAAATGAGTAAAAACTGAGGAGCTAAGGCTGCAACTACTGATTCTTTTCATTGTCAGTTAATCAGACAACATTTTTTTTTTTTTTGATTAATCGATCTGTCGGTTAGTCTATAAAATGTTTTTGCTGACAAATGGTTATTTCACCTCTGAGCAGAACCCTTACTGAAAAAAAAACAACTGGCGCTGGCACTGGCAGGGCTCCAAGCACAGGGATGAGAAATTGTTACATCATTTTTCATATTTATCTTGACTGAAGGGAGAGATTTGCCACACCAAAAAAAGAAATCACCACAGCTGCAGATTTCATACTGTTTCTTTATTCTTTTGAACACTTAGGTAGCAGCACGAGTGACAGTAAGAAGCGGAGATCATAAAACACACTAGATCTCACTGATTCACCACACAAAATGTTTATATGGTGAAAGTGTCTGTCTTTATCTCTCCATTGCCTTTGTGACTGTCATCTCATCCTTGGTTTGGTCACATTCTTCACACACTCTGTCAACCCTTGTATGTGCAACTATACAGGCATTCAAGGCTACAGTCATATGAAGCCATAAACTCCCTGCACATGACAAGACGTCACATATCATGGCAGCATATTGATACAGACATGACTCACACATTAGATATTAAAGGTCCAGCATGTAGGATATGGGGGCATGTATCAGCAAAAATGTTTATATATTTAACTGTTTTCATTAGTTTATAATCACCTGAAAATAAGAATAGTTATGTTTTCGTTCCCTCAGAATGAGCCGTTTATATCCTACATACGGAGCAGGTCCTCTTCCACAGAGTCGGCCATGTTGCTCTACAGTAGCCCAGGGCAGACAAACCAAACCCTGGCTCTAGATAAGGCAATTGTTGCTTTTGTGTTTGCCACTGTAGTTCTACGACACGCTTGGCACATGGAGGAAGTTCAAGTTCTGCAACCTCACTACTAGATGCCACTAAATCCTTCACACTGGACCTTTAATGTATAGCTTGTAGTAGATGGGTGTCCATTGAACTAAAAGAATATATCAAGAACAACTGGACACTGATTTGAAATAACAATTTGTTAGTAAAGATATTTACATTAGGTGATAAAAATTCACTTATCTAAATAAATAATGAGGTAAGCTCAGTATGAGGATCACTTTAAGTGCACAGCCGTTCACATGTGGCGCTAAATGTTGTGATATGCTGCTACTATAAAACCTGTCCCTTATGACTCATCATAACCTGCTGTGTGTTGCTGTATGTAACGTGGCTGAATGTGTTGTTAATATAAAATTATTGGTTGGCATATGCGAGCATTCCCAGGAGCATTTCTTTGTCTTCCTTCTATAGATGGAAACATCAAATATGGCCAGCACTGACAGCGGAGATCAATAAGATTTTGCCCTCAGTCAATAAATACTTGAATTTCCATTTTTCAAATGAAAACAGTATGTAAATTAAATTTTCAGCAACCTAGCTGATGGAAACACACACCACTCCTTCTTAAATTCAACATTTGCAAAAACTATGACATAATGTCTGCAGTGGCATTTGCTACCGGGTGATGAATGGCTCTGGATAGGCAGATGAAAAGTGAATGAGAGAGGGAAGGACAGTGAGTCTAATGGGAAACAGGGCTGAATGAATCTGAGAGAGATGGAGTGAGTGGAGAGATGGAAAGAGAGGGGAGGGGTGAGAAGGATAGAGAGCAGTAGCTTTCTTCTGCTGCCATCCCATCACCAGGCTATCAGTTATTGATTGAATGTGGAAACATGCCATGCAGGCTCCAGCTAATAACACTGACAGCACTGCAGGAGCTTGTAAATCAGAAAACACAACACACACAGGCTGCAAACTGGAGACACCATACATGTGCAGGATGTAGACAGATGTATGTAGTGGGAGGAGATTTGGGGGTGAGACAGGTAGGGTTCTCAGAGTCAAGGAGACACTATATGACAGCCTTCATCACCCATGTGACAGAATTTACTTATTTCTCCTCTTTTACTTCCCTTCTTCCTTCCTTCCTCGCCATCACCACTCTAATATCAGCATCACGCTCCCTCATTCCTCCCCGAGTCTGCTCATCATTCTTGGGACCACTTGGCCGCATTCTTCACATGTCACTCATCCCGTCCTCACCTCCTTCCCATTTCCCAATCCTGCCATTCCCTCCCCTCTCTGCACCGCTCCTCTAAATCACCCTCAGTTTCTCTCCATCTGTCCTTCTCCCTCTGAAATGACTTTCTCTCTCTGTCAGTCTGTCGCTGTGTTATGAATATGCCAGACGCTCATGGGATCTGCGTCTCTGTGGCTCCATTTCATCTTTCTTTCCCTTGTGCCGGTACCTGCCGCATTCACCGGTCAACTTCACACATCTGCAGCAGCTCTCTGCAGCAAGCTCACACACCCACTTACTGCGCACACACACATACACACACACACACATACACAAAGGGACAGATACACATTTGAAGCTTAGGTCGTGCTGCTGTGTTGGCAGCTGGTGACCAGAATTCACAAGGATGTAAACTTATACAGTATATGACACCCTATATATATAGTAAGTGCTGATACGACAGGCACGCATCCATGGCTGAGGCGCATGTAAGTATACTTGCATGCACAGAAAGAGGTGGTGAATGGCTACTTACAGCATTTGATGAAATGGTAGTGAGACATTTTCTAAGTCAGACAGTCCGCCGGTCAGGTAGAAAGGATGGCAAGCAGGCAGAAAGGTAAGCAGGGAGTCAGTAAGTGAAGCAGGCAGGCAGACAGTAGGCAGCTACAGGTTCCAGCAAAAACTAACTAATGCACAGCTCGTAACCCGGCAGGATGCATTATTAATCGGGCTCCCTGCATGCTATCCAAACTCCGTTCCCCTGTCTGCATTATTCACCAGCAGCAGCTCCGGTTGCAGCCCATGCGGCATCTACATGCACACAGACCTCGACTCTCTCTCACACACACACACACTCACACACTCACACAGACATTCACTCCCATCAGCCCGTCGGCAAGGGGAGCTGCGGCTGTTTCTAGCTCTCCTCGCCTACAGCCAGATAACCGCCGCACAACGTCTTCCCAGCCATGACCGACGCACGTGCTCCACTCGCGTCACTGACTGACAGCCAGCTCGGCCCACCTCCCGCTCAACACACCCCCAATGACGCAATGCTCTTCACCTCCTTACACACCCCCCTCTCAGTCTCCTTCTATCACACATACACACACATACGCAGTGACTCATAAGGATGCACACCTCTTTGGACTATCCTCTACCTTCTCAGACAAAAGATAATAAAGAGGGGAGGGGGCTTAATTTAATTGCAGCTCCTTATTCTGTAGATTTTGGCGAGAACGAGGGAGGTCATCTGAGAAAACACAATGATAGAGATAGGAATACAAAATTGAGGAAATGCAGATACAGCAGGGGGAGCAAGAGAAAGAAAAATAAGCAAGAGATGGCAAGAGACGGGGAGAGAGGGAGCGTTAAATTGGATAGAAGACCAGCTAAAGAGAGAGAGCAAGAGAAAGAGAAGCTGCTGCAGTGCGGCTTTTGGTGCGGCGGCAGGTTAAGTGCTCATCAACGGGCTTAAACTGGCCACAAATTACCTACACATTAAATACTGTTTACTAGAATGGTTGGGCTTGAGACCAGCACATTCACACACTCTAATATGCGTTTATCATGCTCCAGCACACACAAACACCCACAGCGAGTGTTTAGTGATGCAACATGCACTATGTGCTTGCAGTGTCAGTAGGGCAATCTCTATGACTTTGTGCTTTAAGGCTGATTTGCATACATGAATATCAAAGCTTTGCATTAAAACGAGGATTCGCACAAGGCGGGTGAGAAGGTGAGTGCGAATGAAAGGAGGAGAGGGAAAGAAAGAAAGAGAGAGAAGAGGGAAGCGGGGAGGAACAGCAGACTAAAGAGAAGAAGATAAAATGAGATAGCAAGAAAGACTGCAGACACACAATGTGGATGAGCGTAAAATAGCTTAACGAGGCGTGCAGTGTGTGACTAAAGCACACTTGTGACACACATTTTGGCAATCTGTGCCACGGTGCTCACACATCTGCAGGTTATATAGCATGCTGCATATTATATGGGGGTGCGGGGGCGGGTGGGGGGGTTGAGCTGTTATCTCCCATCGCTGTCACACACGGCATTTGGAGATGGGATAAAAGTATGTGAGAAGCAGGTGAGGTTTGTGAGAGTATCGAACGGAGAGCAGCAGCAGAGGAAGCTTGAAAGGGAACGAGAGGAAGATAGAGACCGGGAGATGGATGTGTGTAGATGTGTGTGTGTGCGTTAGACTGAATGCTCGAGTAATTCCTGTCATAGGAAATCAGGTCACAGAAGTAGCTCGCTGCATCTTCTGCAAAACACTGCCGGAGCAACTACTCAAACATCTACCTGAGTGGAAAAAGACGGCACATTTGTGCATGTGTGCATGTTGAGTCTGAATGCTTGCAAAGATCCCACTATACCAACCACTAAATAAGTCATCGCTAACACCACTCATGGCATGCACATGAACATACACCAGCCAGATACTGTAGTATTTTTGGTCAAGGATAACACAATGACAACCCCATTAACACTTTACCCCTGACATCCAGATGTCAAGAGAAGATCTACCAGGAAAATGGCGTGCGTTTTCATCCAAATGCCGCGAAACATTAATGGCTCATGTGAAATCGGCGCCTGCAGCGATACACATGTAACATGCTGTATCAGAGGAGCAGTGATGTGTCAGAGCATTCAGGACAAAAGGTAACACGAGGTCTTGATGTGAGACAACCCGCTGCAAGGCAAGTCATCTCTGTTGTGACAGCAACAGGATAATGGGCTGGAGTCTCATCCTAATACTTTCCTCTCCACAGCTACAATTAGGTCAAGCACTTAGGCAGGGAGGCAAACAGAGTGCACATATAGAGAGGGAAACGGAGACTGAAATATTTGAATCCTTGTTTTACGTAAAAAAATGCTGCAATTACTGGTGAATCTGATTTTTAAATACATTTACTCCACTATAGACATGTGTGACACTATACATCCGTGCATGTGTGCATAGTATCTCAGCTAATGCTATGAATTGTAGCTCATACTGTAGCAAATGTTGCAAGGAGAAGGAGCCTCCCTGCTGCCACACAGCAGTGACAAACTCTCATTATAGCAGCTTTTGTCCCAGAGGAGATGACAAATTACATTCTCTTTGACACCGCTGTCATGCTGCCATCATCACCCTCAGGTGTCAGTCAAAACTATGGCTGTGTTACCACCACGATCGCTATGGTTACCACCCTGGAGTGTGTGCATATGCTCGCATGCGATCGGTTTCACTGATGCTGATAATGCGGGATGTCTGATGCAGGAAATGTTCCCAATTACGGCAAAGCCAAAGGCGCTTGGAAAGTTTGGGGGTGATGCATTATATATGAAAAGAGATCTCCTCGGATTAATAATTCATCAAATGTGATGTATTTACACAAATAAATATTTATTTATTTTACCAGCCAGATTGAAAATTTTGAATGCTGTTTGCATGTATTGTGGGTTGTTTGATGTTTACATGTAAATTACGTGGTGTGTGGCTCGTGCTACGTACGTGTCCCTATACAAATATACATTAAACGAATAAAACCTTGTGCACCTGCATCAACAAAATACAGCTTTTTGAGCAAGGAAGCATAGAGCATTTACCTGAATAAGAACCCCTCAAGTCCCAACGGACCAAAAGACCATGTGATTACACTCTCTTGTTAATGAGGAACTCCCCCCTCCCTTCACGAAGACACACACACACACCATTCAGGTTAATCCGGTGCCTTTCTATTCACTACATTACGTTATCTCTCTCACCTCCTCCTGTCTCTACCTTCACCCCTTACCTCTCTTTATTTGCAAGGCCAAAGTAATTTCCTTGTCCTGCAGCTATCTTCCAGCAGCATTCACACTTATTCAGTTGATTTCAGGGACACGGCACTACTGTATATTGCATTGTGTTGCTCCCTACAAGGTTCTCCATTAAATACACAGTGATTCTTTAGAGTTTACTGTGTGTATTGTTTAAACTCTTCAGCAATAGACAGTGCTGTTGTTGTTAGGCTGTGGTGACAGCTTGTGTTTTTGTCACTACATTGGGTTTTATTGTTTTGTTGCCAACTGCACGGTTGTTGTTTTTGGAAATTATGCTGCTGATGAAACACCATGAAATGGCCCATAGTTTATTTCTTTAGGTGAGACTTCATGTGAGATTTTTCTATATTTATTAGGTTTTAACTAATGGAAAATGGAACTGTGAGGCACATTTTTAGGCGATAGGCTGAATGATTACACCACCATAGCATATGTTGTCAAACTGAATGTTGAGAGTTGTCTCAGAGGCAGTTATTTTTATGCCTCTGCACTGGTGACAGCCGTAGCCAAAGGTATTATGTTTTTGGTTGTCTGTCCGATTCTGGTGGATGCAATATCTCAGATACCCCTGAGGGGAATTTCTTCAAATTCAGCACACACACCCACTTCAACTCAAGAATGAACGGATTAGAAATTGGTGGCCAGTGGTCAAGGTCACTGTGGCTTACGAAACACATTTTGGGCTATAACTCAAGAATTCATCCACAAATTATGTCAATATTTCACACAAATGTTTAATAGAATAAAATTATAAAGTCACTTAAGGCAGAGGCACTTAAGCCCTATTCGGACGGGATTAGTTTAACGTGGAGGTGTGGGGCAAAGTAATTATTACCAGGGATTTTAGTCCCGTCCGAATGTGCCATGTCTGTAATCATCACGGATAATGTCAGTAAAAATGACGGCGACTTTTACCTTTTGTAAAACAGTCCGGAGAAAATACCTTGGGTAATATTAATCCCGTGCGAACACGATTCTCTGTCAAAATGTATGTAAATATTTCGTCACATCCTTTTTTTCCGCGTTTACAACTAGTTTTCCGTGATTTTTCGATGATGGAGGCGCTTGAAGAAGCATTCGATGTTGTCGGCAGTCGTGATAGTGGACATTCTTCTAATGATCACATAGCCCTATGTGGGACACCAATCAAAACAGCAGAGAAGAAAGCACTTTTCAGAGCCACAGGACTTGATGTCTTATTATTGTTATTTTATTATTATTTTATCCTTCAGCTGATGCTTACAGGAAGCAATGTAGCACGCACATGCTGACAGGGAGGTGACACCAGGGCGCGCACTGAGTCACCACTCCCATCTCTGATAGAATTACAGAGATTTCTTGTCCTGTGCGAATCTGACATTTATATTACAGACATCCTGTAGTAAACTGACATTAGTCCACATCCCTATGTAAAACTAATCCTGCCCGAATAGTACTTTAGACACTGAATTGCTGACACTAATCTTCAACTGTGCTGATTGTATAGATCCTCTCTGCTGCTGGGTTGAAGATGTGTGTGAAGCATCCACATTTTAGAATTTGTAGCTTCTTCGCAGCAACATCCATATTCAAATCACTGCCTGCTGTCATGGCTACATATGAGTCTAGAGGGACATGGATGTGAACTGTAGCTGCACTTGACTGGTTCGTGGAGGCGATAATTACAGACGACACCTGAACTCAGTATTTTCAGATTTAAGAGACTTATGATTTATGATTATTATGGCCTCTAATTTCTGTAAGCTGACCCTGCCAGCATTTTTCACCACATGATTGTTGTTTTAGAGGATTAGTTAAAACATATGTTAGAATATGTAATGACTGGGTCTTATAGGGAGCTGAGCAGCCATGCATTAACAAGGGTGTTGACAGGCGTTTTCTACACGATGAGTTACACCCTTGCTGTTGGATATTTGCTTGCTACCGAGGAAGAAAGAGATGAAAATGGGTGAGAACAAAATGGACGATAGAAATATTTATGAGCAAGTGCAGCTGAAGTGGTAGTCTAAAAAACAGAACAAATATCCTTTGGCGATGCAAACACAAACATTTCAACGGCTGATTTGAAGGTGTGTCCTTTGTAACTGCTTAAGTGCGTGCTTTGTATGGACCGCAAGTGACTGGTGAACTTTGTAAAAAACACACTTTAT